TTGGCACAAAAAATATAAGAATATATTATTTTTTTCATATTTATATAAACAATTTCAACGACCATTATTTTAATAACTTTTATTTATAAGTTTGTCAAAAATATCATGTTTGTGTCGTCGAATTTTTTTTTTTTAAGTATTGTAACTTTTTTTTTTCAAATTGTTTATCACGAAAAAAGTTGGAATAAATATAAATTCAAAAAAAACTAAAAAAAAAGTATATGTGTTTTTTTAGGCTAGAAGATGTCTGAAGATGTTAGAAGAGGGCGTGAAGACATTTTTAGGTCTGTAGTCTTCAAAAAAACAAACAATCTACGAAGGCTAATGTCTGCGCGTGGTCTGCGCCGCGCAGACAGAAGAGCCAGGAAGATCTGCAGACAAAAAACAAACACCACCTTAGTCAGTTCCCCAGTATACCACATATTCCACCATACATATAATACATCCACACAAAGTCCTCGGCTCTAACGTCGACCTGCCAAATCTCATATCAACCTGCATATAACATACATAACAACCATATATGAAATAACGGGTCTACTCCAACCCCAAGTGAATGTTATGGGTCGAATAATAGTGTTACAGTCACATCTTGGCATGGGCCAAATCATGGTCTTTCCTTGTCATTGCTAGGGGTCAAATCTTGGTTTTACATACAAGTGACAGGGCCAGATCTTGGTATTTCATACAATTCATAAAGTCTTATGTAGTTAGGGATCAAATAGACAGTCGAACAGATGATCCACCCGAGGGCGAACAATCAGACAAAAACATCGCAATAAGGCATTAGACCAAGAGTTCTCATGCTATCTAACTTAAACTACATAGAACCAAAGCTATCATTACTACATAATCATGTAACATAAACAAATAACATATACTAGCATATTACATAACCTTGGCAACTAGCCTTCCCACGTTACCCTGCCATTGACCACTTATCAATTAAGTTCGTTGTTAGTCAATTATACATAATCCTGATAACTGGTCTTCCCCAATTACCCTAACCAAACATAACTCCTAACAGTATCATACTATCAACAGGCAAGACCTTATTAGTCTAGTATACCAAGACACCAAGTGTTCTAAACTACACATGCATAACAAGGAGTTATCCTAGTCAGCTAGCATATTTGTACTCTAACAGTACCTCTATCCTACCATGCAAAGGATATACAATGAGATATGTGGCATAATAAGAAACTCACCTGAACTGAAGAAACGGAGAAACACATCAACATTCTCACCCCTTACACCAATCAATCTCGCAAACCGACTAACACCAAAAGAGATAAATCCTCAATCAACAACCCAAATCCTCCAAGTTTGACCCAAAGTAAAACTGGTCAAAAGTCAACGATCAACCAAGTCCACGATCACCACGACGTGGTGACCTTTTGGCCAAGTCGTAGGAATGTCGGACAAAACAGTCGGATATATAAGACATTTTCACGTCGTAGGCCCTCTTTGGCCACGTCGTGGAAATGTCAGGACCAAAACCATCATAAAGCTGGACTCCACCACATCGTGGTCATCTTTTGGTCGTGTTGTGGTAACTGGCAGATCTCACATTTCTTCATTAAGGGCTTAATCCTTACACAGATTCCGTAACTCAGTGCTAAGAAAGAGGGCTTGGAAGAAGAAAATAAAAGTTTAAACTTGTGGTGATTGGTGATGGGGCTGATTGTAATTAGTGATAATGGTGATGTTAATTGGTGTTGGTGATAGGGCCGATGGTGACAATAATGGTTGGTAGATTCATAGTGGATAGGTGATGTGACGGTTTATTTTTTTTACATTAATGGTCATTGTGTTATAAAGAACTTTCTATAAAATAGAAAAAACAAAAAGTAACAAATTTCATCATTTAACATTCATTTAAAAGAATGATTATAGATGGTAAGTGTCTCATGTACCACCGATACAACAATTAGAAAACCACAAGGACCCGTCATATCAAAAATCCAATAGTATAACTAATAGTATGAATTTTTGCAAACCACATGAACCAAAATACGAAAGAATATCAATAATTTTCACCTACTCATAATTTGAAGAAAAAAAATCCTTAAGATGCAAAACATGCACATATGCATCAAAACATAAATTTGTCATCTTATTCAACAACATAACAAAATAAACCTACTATTACTTCCGGAAAATACACAAGAAAAAACTAAAATAAACATAAAATGCCCTTTACAAGAAAGGACATTTTCATAAAGAATCTAACTAACCAAGCTCTTATTCGGTCGACCCATTTACAAGCGTCGCGCCAACCCTCTCCACGCATGCATGAGAGCTTCTTAACAAAAAAAAAAACAAAAAAAAAACTACACCCGACATTTACCATTCTTCCTCCCTATTTTTTGTTACCTTTTTACATGAAAGATTTAATAACAAGAGATAGTTACTGATATCAAGGGAGGCCGAACGGAAAAAAAAAAAAAAAAAAAAAAAAAATCTGCATCTTTTACTTTTTTTTTTAAAGTATGATAATTAAGATGTAAATGTGATTTTTATTCAAAGAAGTCGACAAGTTTCCGATTGTGGTGTTTGCTTGAACTGTTGTTTGGCTTGGTGATGTGACCAATACGCGTGCGCAGCCAACACCCTGTCCAGAAGCTCCTGAGGCACCGGCTCGCCTCTTCTTTGCTGTGGCGATATTCTCGCCGTGTGCACCAGCGTCTTCCACTTGTCCTGCGTAACGTAACGTTACACAGATGTCACAAATATTATATAACAGAACAAGTTGTACTGTAATATTAATGTTGTAATATTAATATTGTAATATTAATATTGTATCTGACATGACATTACATGCAATAATGTGTGCCTAATATAGTAATAGGACAAAAGAAACATGTCACGATGTACCTACCTTCAAATCAACATACGTGCGGTGCTTTGCATTATCAAAGGCCCGTAACTTCACGTCACGCCATCTAAAGAAAAATAATAAAAAAAGGTTAAATTTTACACGAAATCAAATCTTTTTTTATGGTTTGCATTTATTACAATAAAAACTAAAAAATAAACCTTCCGGTTCCGAGTTTTTCAACGGCTTGAACCAACGCTTCCACCTCAGAAACCGAAAACGGTCGACGGATTCTCCGTTGTGCCACCTCAGACCGCTTAGATTTCCTCATGGGGACCACCGCTAGTGCCCGTGGGTTCATAGCCGGGACACTGACCAAAGCCCGCGAATCTGAACCCGAACCCGAACCACTTTTGTTATCAAAAGACATGTTGGGAGGTGATGGTGCCGAGTCATGGTCACTTTCAATCAAGTTTCCAAAATTTGTCACCGGAGGATTCTCCTCCGGTTGAATCACCATCTGATTAGCCACATTTGGACCGGGTGTATACCTAACAAAAACGTACAACTCGTAAAGCAAGATGTACAACTTTTGAATAATTAGTTAATTTAAGTCCCGTACCTTATCAACGGCTTAGGGGTAATGGGATTTGGTGCAAAAGATTGATCTCCTCCTGGGCTTAGAGATGATGGAACTTGCAAATGGTTAGGCTCCAATGTAAACCCTAATGCATCTAGCTTATTGTGTATGCCAGTTTGTACCAAAGTTTTGTCATCATCTCGAATCTTTTTCCCTTGAAGCATCACACCCACGTGTAGCTCACCGCTAAGTATCGAAGTCATCGCCTCCATAACGGTCCTCTGTAGAAAGTCAATGTAGGTCAACCATGAGTACAATAAACAATTTATTGTAACATAAGTTTGGTATGTATAATAATATATGTACCTTTAGGTAACCAACGGTTGCGGTTTTTGGTAACTCAAAGAAAAGCTCGGGAACACGAAAAGATTTGATCTTGAGCTTCACTGAGTAAAAGCAAAAACATCTTTGATATAAGAACCTCGTTCGATGAGTAGATATCGATAACTCAATCGAAACGCGCTCAATTACCATGGGAATCCCGTGTCTGAAAAGCTGGATTTTGCTTCGATACAAGTCCCGATGTCTTCGTACCTATTATTACACATTCAACACTCACAAGTTACAAAAAACTAAATGACCAAATTTCTGCAAAAAGAAAAAAGTTATTCTTCCAACAACCCCTGGACCACATAGTAGATCAGTAGGAGCACCATGTGATGTGATGTGAGGTGTAAATCAGGTATACACTCCTCAATCCACATTGGAACCGAAACTCTCACACTGTTGTTGTCCTCAAGGCACATATAACCAAGTTCTTTTTAATAAAACAAGGAACAAACCTCCTGTGGATTTGACACCAAAACCCGAACCATTTTCAATCGAGTCTTTTCGAGGAGGACTCGATTGATCCTCGCTATTAACTACATCATCCGAGTTTGAGAAGTATTCAAATTCATAAAGTCGTCTCTTTTTAAACGGATAATCCTTCAACGATCGTAGTCGTTTATAGCAACTTTTCCTATTACGGAAACCACCTTTCATTTCCTCGTCTGAAAAAACAACAAATTCACAACATTTCTAATTATAGAAAAACCACACAAACGAAATCCACAATAGTTAAAATCACAAATCACTCACCAACATCACAATGAACTTCATCGTTCAGTTCGGGACCCGATTTCCAATATTTTGATGCCAACAATCGCCTAATTCTTCGATCCCCAATACGCGGTGGTGGCTTAAAGGATTTATTAGGAACCCGAGTCACCCGGGAAGAGTTTTCGTCATCATCTCTAACAACTAAATTTACATTATCTTGACACAAAGGTAAATGATCATGACCATGAACATGACCTCGATTATTATTATTATTGTTGTTTTTGTTATCTATAATATGAACTACATGAGGTTTTGGTGCCTCGTTTGTTATGGGTTTACTATTCTTATCGTCTACTTTACAACTAAACGGGAGTTTGACTTTGTCAACGGAAAGAACGGGAACCGGAACCGGAACCGGAACCGGAATTGGAATCTTTTCGGAGCAATCGGAAACGGTAATACCTGAAGAAGGTCCGGAATAGGATTCGGGTTGTGGGTCCATTATAGGAGCTTGTGAGATTATTTCAGACACAAAGAAGCTTCTGCTGTTGCAGCTTCCTTGATCACAAATATTATTATTATTATTATTAACATTCGAAGGGTACTCATCTTCTATTTGTTTTTCTGTCTTAACGGTTTCAGCTTCCTCTCCACCACCACCACGGCTACCGCCGCCCTCCTGCAGTAACTTTCCGGCTACTGTCGCCAGTAGATCGAATGCACACATTTGCTTGTTGTTGTTATTAGTGTTATTTTCCTCGGTTTTCTTCCATGATGGAACCCTTCGCTGAAAAGATTCAGAAATTAAAAAAAGAAAAAGAAATAAAAGTTCAAAAGATTTAAAAGGGTAAATTGAAAGAGGCGTTTACAGTGGCTGATCTGGCAGCCCGGGGAGTTGGCGGCACCTGATAGCCGTTAAATCCATATTCTAACCTCTTCTGCAACACCATATTTTAGTGATCATATCAAGAAGCTACTTAAAAGCCATACGCGATTGTTGTTTTTTAATCTTTGAAGATAATAAACGCCTGAAAGTTGAGAGAAATATGTTACAGGTAGATCATAGGAGATATGAAGAACACCAAAGAAAAAGTATGAAATGGTTAAAATTGACATGCTTTAATTCAGAGAATCTGATAATCTATGATATATGTAATGGTCCTAACTTTGATCTACTCCAAATTAGGAAACTTTTTCATGATCTTGGATACAAAAAAGGTAACGATTTATAATGGCCCATGTATAGATTTAAAGATTCTTGAAACCGAAAAGGTAACAATAACCTATTCTAATGAATGAATTCAAGATCCCTGAGATCAGATGAAAAGAATGATCGAAAGCACTTTTTTAACATATTAAAAAAGGATTCAAATATTTACAATCAATCATATATGCATTAACAACTACATAAGTGAACGGATCAAATTAGTAAAACTAAAACACACCAATATTTTTGTAAGAATAACATTTCACATCCATAAAAGCTCTAAAACCCCACAATATTTCTCAATTCGTGAAATTAAAAATCTAAGAGGAGTGTTGAATATAGAAACTGAAGTTGAAAATTGGAGAAACGAAAAGGGCATAAGGAAATTCAAAACCCTTACAAAACCCTGAAGAAGATAGAAGCATAGAGACATTTATACGAACACATAAACGACACTTACAATTGCATAAAAATCGTCTTAAACTCAAAATAATAATTAAAAAAAAAAAAAAAAAAAAAAAGGGAATAATAAAAAAAATCAATCAATCGAGAAACAAACACCATGATCAGTAAAGAAGAAGAATTTATCGATCGCGTCGTATAACCAGAAATTACTAAGGAAAATAAACAAATTCTACACATCACACGTCAGATCGCACCAACCAGAATAAAAAATCGAGAATAATAAGAACACATTCACCGATTAAGATTGAGTTTAAGTCAAGAAATTCATCAAAGTTTAAGTTCTGTTTCAATAAACACCTTTAATACCCCCGGGATTTTGCCAAGAATTCACCAAACATTTTCTTCAGATTCCGGACAACAAATTCTGGAAGATCGGAAAATTCCCGGAGAATTCAAACCGTAAAACCCAAATTCACAAACTTTTCATCGATCAAACAGAACCCATTAGAAAAAAAGGAAGAATTTTTCCTCTTCCCTTTTCTTGATCAGTCTTCTCATCGCCACATAACGTTGTTTGAAACGCAATCTCTTCTTCCAAATTGAATCTCTTCTTTCAATTTCGCGCTCTCTCTCTACAAATCCTTGAAATATAACGATCGAAAGAACATGAACATGAACCAGAACAAAAACAAAAACAAAAACCCTCTGAAAACCACCCAACGATGGCCTTAAACCCCCCAGCTGTTTATACTCATTGACCCTTGTTACCGAATGGATCGGTAAAAGGCTCCAAGTGGTTACCGGCGAGAGCAGGTTACACACACACACACCCTATAAGACCGGTTCTACGCAACAAGGTAACCCACACAACCCTCCGACATACTGCCAGATGGTGCCACGTGGAGAGAAACAGAGAATCCTATGGTTGTGAGAGCATTAGTGAGATCGAGAAAAACGTTGGGTCACGAAGTGAGCAAGGGTGGTTTTGTAATTTACTGTCGCGGTTATTTTCACTTTCAGACATCCATTTGAATTGAACTTTCTATTTTTAGACAAAAGCCTTACCACAATCCACTCTATGCCCAATTTTATTACCAAAAAAAGAAACTAATGTTGACCCATTTTGCTTAAATTTATGACCATATTATTCTATGGACATCATATTTTCAACTTTATTTTTAATAAAATTAAAAAAAAAAATCCAGAGCTTTTAAGTTTTGTCATGTGTATGTGTGATATCCGTTTTTACTTTTTCAAGTTAATTATTGTGATTGTTTGAAAGTTTGAAATGTATTATTATGAGTAAAAATTAATATATATTCATGTTGAGAAATAAAAATTACACCATATTTTATTTTATTTCTTATAGTGCATTAATTACGTGCCAAATAAAACATTGCATTTTTGGGGAAGATTAGTAGAGTTTTTTTTTTTAATTATGAAACTTATCCTAGTTATACTTAGTATATATATATATTTGGTTATAACCCGTAGAAACCACGGTTGATATGTTTAAAATTATTATATAGATAAAAATAATATTAAATATAAAAAAATCAACATATTATCGATTGTAAGTAATTCTGAAATAATTTGTTAAGTAAAATAAACATAATACTTTACCATATATTACGAAATTTTTATTAGGATATGCTTTTATATTTTTAATATTGAACTGAATTTGATTTGTTACAAAAATAATAATAATAGAAATCATAGAAAAATATCACGTGTCAAATAGGCATGGTAAAAAATAGACATGTAACATTTTTATGTTTCATATATTAGGTATCAATCTATTTAGCTATCAAAAAATGTGGTCGTCAATAACACAAATTTATATTATTGGCAGATTTGAGTGGATTCGGGGTCTAGGCCACTGCTCGATTTTAGCTCGTTAGTGTATTTTCTTTTGATTTTTTTTTCTTATTTTGCATTAAGGTGCAACCATTATAAAAGATAAGTGCAACTACTAGTTTATAGTTCCATAAAAATAACATGATGCAACAAATATTAGCTGAAAACTAAAAAAAATAGCCCAATTTGGTGTTCTAAACAAATAATTGTCCAAACTCACAAAGCTCAAATTGATTAGGACTTGTGAGTTCATTAAACCGCTCGACTATTTGAAAAATAAATAAAGAAGAAGATGATGATGATGAAATCGTTGTTGGTTGTTGTTGAACGACGTTCGGGGAAAAAATCAAATGTGAAGCTTAAATCGATTCTAACCAAGCTCTAAGCCATCGACATTTCATATTTTTTCTTCCAAAAATTTTGATTTTGAGCTTGAACTTCCAAGAAAATCATTTTTTAGAGGATCTCTTCAAACCCTACAATGAAACAAGTAAGTATAGTGTAACACCCCGTTTATTAAATAAATAAATAGACAAATTCATGACTAATAGTACCCAAAAATCAATAATAATATAGCAAGGTGTTGGTCTCGAGGGTTAATTGTTACAATTTTAGAAGATGGGGGTTAAAAGTGTAAATTTCAGAGTGGTTTGCAAATATTTATGAAGGCAGGGACTGCTTGGTAAATTATGGGGACTTAATTTGAAGATATTTTTGGAGGTTGGGGGCTGAATGGTAAATATTGGATTAAAGTTGAAAATATTTTATGGGGCCAAGGGCTAAAGTGTAAGTTTTGGAGTTAAATTGAAAATGGGGAGGGACTAATAATGGATAAATGAGTTAAAGTTTGTATGGATACGGGACTTAACCCAGTACCCTCCCCCACGTCGCATCCTAAAACCCTAAACCTAAGAGACCATCTTCACCAGCCGCCATGCGTGAGTTCAGCCGCCACCACCGTTCTTGGAAGCTTTCTCAGCGTCGCCTGCAAGCAAGTCCGACCGCCGTCGTTGTGATGTCGTTGAAGGTCGCCAACGTGACGTCTGCTTCCGGAAGCGTCGTGAACAGCCGGAAAACCGCCGAGAACCGGAGAAACTCATTACGTTCGTCGGTGTGGGCCGTAAGCCACCAGAAACGCTCGGTAAATCCCCCGCAACCCAACTTCTTCTTCTTCTTCTTCTTCTTCTCTCTCTCTCTCTCTCGTTGTTTTCAGTGGTTACGACGTCGAAGACGTCATTACCGTCGTCGGTGGTCATAGGGCTACTTTTTTGTCTTTCCGGCGACGACTGCCGCCTAGGCGGTGGCTGTGTGGGTGCATGTTCGAGTTTCTACTTTGTTGTCGGTGTTTGTGTCGCTGTTGCATTTCGATTATGTGGAATGTTCTTTTTGGCCGAAAATTCACCGCCACCACCATGAGGTGGTGGCTGCCACCGCTTCACCACCACCAGCCGTCGTGAGGTGGTGGTTGTGTGTGTTTTGAATGGTGTTCTGTGTGTGTTTAGCAGATCGGGAGTTGGTTAAGCATTTTTGGCGGAAGGATGGAAGGGAAAAACCACCACCACCACCGTGAGGTGGTGGCTGCCGCCGTGAGCCGCCACCGACCACCACCGCCCGAGGTGGCAGTGGGTGGTGTCCGGCCTAGCGGAACCCTAATGGACCTAAAAGCTTAATGTTGGACATGGTTGGCTCGTGTTTGGGTTAGAAACCCTAATTAGGGTTTAGAAAACCCTAATTTTGAGTTTGTTGGTTTGGACCTATCGGGACCCACGTTATGGGCCATTGGAATTGAAATTTGAATTATGCCCGATTACACTGTATGATTGACCTGGTAGATTGATGACTTAATGAATTAAGTCCTTAATGGGTTAAGTGTTTCTAATTAACCCTAATCGTCATTTCATGTGAAAACCCGAATTGTGTTGGGTTTAGAGTTGGCCCTTTCTGTCACAACTAGGAATTTTGATGCTTTGTAAAACCCTTAACAAGGATAACATTGTAACTAAAACTTGAAAACATGTATGGTGCTTATTCAATTACCACAAAATTCCATCAAATACTCTATACAAACATTCAAATAGTCAACAAAAGGTTAGAAACCCTAAAAAAAATCCCGGTTCAAGTCCATTTTGGACTAGGATTTCCTTATTGGGCCTAATGGACCAATAAACATCCAATTTGACTATTTTGGACTAAGAACTCTTAAATGGGCCCTAATTGGACCCACTTCCATAAAACTTA